TATACAGAAAGGTAACACCAACATGCAAGGTCATTGGCTGTAAAGGGTTTTCAAACATCTCCATGTTGTGGTGGATATACAAACGTATGTTTTTTTTTTATATATAATGTCCTTAAACTAAAATATATTCCATGTCACTTTGCAGAGGTATTTCTAAACACCAGTCCAACATTTAACATGATGCAACTTTATAGGCAACAGTAAGGCCTCAACGGAGGGAGGAGGTCACACAAACACAATATTGCTCATGAATGTTCAGATTTTTAGTTTGAGACCAGGTACCTACAACAGCAACAGATTTTAATTATATGGTGCCTTCAATCATAGCCAGATTGAATATGTTTACAAGTTAGATGAGGGAGTCTAACAGAAAGTTTCACAGTCCCAACAGTCTCCTTCTCCATGTCACTACCAGACACAAGTGGATGTTTAGCAAAGGGACACGATGGGAAGCTGGTATAGCTCAAACTTTCAAAGTAGTAAAAACTGATCCCATAAATTCTGTCTCCATTCAGCTAATATAATGTCAGAGAGCAGCAGGACTGAACAGCCACAGCTACAACACACATGGGTGAACCGGCTGGTGGACTATCAGGTGACCTCAGTCTAAGTGGCTCCTATCAACAGCTGGCTGCCTATCACCTCATCTACTCTAACCACCAGATAGCATCGAGAAAATACAACAAACCAGGGTAGGGAAACGATAAACTCACATGCAAATACCAAAATTTGTGTTGTAAATCCAGGGAGTGTTTTTTTGCTGATGATGCAAAATAAAGTTGCAGTACATGACCTCCAGACTCCTCAGAGCCTCAAAACAATTCAAGCATACTCTCCTTTTGTGTGACGAGTACATCAACAACATTCCAGGACCTCGTGACCTTTCAGGACAAAGCAAATTGTTTGATTGGCACCCATCTGTGGCCCTAAACATGTGCACCACATGTGCATCTCATTGCCCCAGAATTACTGAATCACCCACTATTAACATCTTGAGGGTTACTACTGACCATATACTGAACTGCACTAGTCATAATAAGTATAGGTTGCAACAGCAGGTCAGAGTCTATAAAAATCTGCAACGAGTAACTTATCTGCTGTCTCCCGACAAAGTCCAGGAGTAAAAACAAAAGTCTTGCTGATAATGTGAGACTACAGCTGGAGTGTCACGTGCAGTTTTAGTCTCCTCACCCAAGGAAGGATAAACTTGTCAAGAGGAGTGTAACAAAGGTTCACCAGACTGCTTCCTGGAATGGCATTACTGTTGTCCGGGAAAACCCTGGGTCCAAATTCTCCAGAATTTAGGAGAATGAGAGACATATAAAACGCTTTCAGGGCTCAGCAGGGGAGATTAAGGAATGCTCTTTCACCTGGTTTGAAGGGTCTTGAACTATGGGATAAAGTCTAAGAATAAAAGACAAGCCATTCTGTGAAGGCTCAATCATTGAGTATAGTCAAGACACCAATTGTTAGATTTCTAGGTACTAAAGGATATAGGGGATATTGCAAGAAAATAGTGTTGAGGGAGAAGATTAGCCATGATCCAGTTGAATGTTGGTGCAGGATTAAGGGGATGAATGGCCTACTCCTTTTCACATTTCACTCTGTTCTTGTGAATTAACTTGATAGCACTTTCAAAGAGTCAATATAGATATGATGGTTGAATGGCCTCCTACTGTTCCGCATGACTGTACAATAGTTTTTGGAAGATCTGAAAGTAATGCAATGTAACAGGCCTCTGGAGTTTTGTTTTAATATTCTACTGAAGTACTCTTTACTAATTGTGATCATTGCGTGATATTTATTCTGTGCTTCCGACTGCAACTGGCATAAGCCTAAAATGAGTGACCTCAGTCTCCGAGGATGACAAGTTTGATTGACTGGAGTTATGATAATGAAAGTACTGTAATTGCTGGCATGGAAACGGCTATTGATAATAACAAACAGTAACAATCTATATGTCTTTAAAATAGCAACCTGTTTCAGATCGGAGCAAACAAAATCTGACCCTAAGCCACTTAAGGAGATTTAGGGCAGATGATAAAAAAATTTTGGCAAAGGTTGATATGGAGGAGAGGAAAGAGAGGTGGAGGCTCTAATAGGGGAGTGTTTTAGAACTTAAGTCATTTACCTGAAGTTTTACAAAAAGAGTATAAGTGGATATACTGAAGGCAAATCCATCCAATGACAACCGATTATAATCAGGGATTTAGTGTATGATAGCAAGTTAGCCAAATATAAAAATTAGATAGAGTTTCTATTAACTCCCTTTTAAATTCTACAAAGTGATCATTTGTCCTAAGAATTGTTTAAGAAAACAAAGAGGTGGCAGATGAATTGAAAAAAATGTTTTATCATCTAAGTGAAGACTGGTGCAAAGGTAACATCCCATATAAATCAGGGAATGACCAGAATTGGAGCAGTAGAGGAAGGTCAGATGCTTTAGGATTGGAGATGCATACAAAGAGAGGGAGATGTGAGTCTATAGAGGGATTTGTAAACGGGATGTGAATTTTCAACTCACATAATTGTTTGACTGGAGGCCACAGGTCAATGAGCACAAGGTGAATGGGACTTGTTTATGCAGCCTTCTTGACATATATTATGATGCTATGAGCATTGGTCCTGTAGAAAGTGAGACTCAAGAATCTTTTTCTTGTGAAAACAAAAGAGGTGCAGATGAATTGAAAAAGTTTTCTTTATCAGTCTTTACTACAGAATATAAAAGTAGCATAGCAGAAGCAACTATAAGTCAGGAAATGGAAGGAAGGGAGGGACTCAGGAAAATAGCAGTAAGTGGTATGAAGTAAATTGTTCAGGCTGCAGGGTGACAAGTGGCTTGATCCTGCTAAAACTTCACGCTAGGCTTTTAAAAGAAGTGGCAGGTGAGACAGTCAATGCAATGGCTTTAATTTTTGGAAACTTCCTAAATTTGAGAAGGTCCTATTAAATTGGAAGATAGCAAATGTAACTAACTCTTTCATTCAAAAAAAGAGGGAAACAGAAAGCAACGAACTATAAGCCAGTTAGCACAGAGGGAAACTGTTAGAAGCTGTCATAAAGTAAATTATTGCAGGGCAATTATTTAAGTTCAAGTAACCAAGGAAAGTCAACATGATTTTGTGAAAAGGAATTCCTGCTTAACCAATATTTTAGGAGTTTTTTTTAAGGAAGTAAACTGCACTGTTTCACAAAATGGTGCATATACTGTACTTCGATTACTAGAAAGCATATGATGAAGTGCCATATCAAAGGTTAGTGCAGAAAAGGGAAGGTCATGGTGTCAGGGCTAGCTTATTGGCACAGATAAAAGTTTGGCTAGCTAATGAGAAGCAGTGAGTATGGGTAAATGGGTCTTTTTCTGGTTGGCAAGGTGCAACATGTGGTGTGCCAAAGAGATCACTGCTGGGAATTCTCACCTTGGCCTCCTCACAATCCCACCCATTCCCCATGTTCACACACGCCAAATGATAACAATCCGCACCCATCTGGCCCCATGGTCCCTGAAAGCCCCTATGCCAACTTATCACCAGCTCAGATGGATTAGGCCTTGCCCACCATTTATAAAGGTCCTAGTACCTCTACAACTCTACAAAAATCCATCATATAATTTCCAAATTACCTCGAATAATAACGTCACCTTAAGGACTCGCCTACCTTCAATCAATAATTCTTTAGCCAATCTGAAGGCGGAAGATTAATGTTGGACCAGAAGCATACAAAGATAGGGAGTCTACAGAGAGGTTTATAAATGGGATGAGAATTTTAAAATCATGTAACTGTTTGACTGGAAGCCACAGGTCACTGAGCACAAGGTAAATGGGACTTGTTTACATAGCCTTCCTGTCACATCATGATGCTACGAGCATTGGTCCTATAGAAAGTGGCATCAAAATTCTGAAAACAATGTCAACATCCTCACTTGAATGATCAAATGCACAAAATTAAGCTCTCACACATTCTGTGCGAGCTTATTACATACTAGAGGGAAAGGCTGGTGAGTAAGTTATGTGACACACTTTATACTAAGTCTGACTGTGTGAGGCAAATTATTTTACTCCCTCCTCACAGAACAGACACTGGGCTCATGTCAGGAAAACCTAGCCTCAAAAATCATCTCTCCTGGATGGATGTTAGCTTTTTGGTCACACTTCCTCACCACCTTGCCAACAACACCTGACTGCAAGCATTCTGTGTGTGACAACATGAGTCATAGCAACGTGATATTGATTTCAGAATGATGAACATCCTACCTTGCATCTTGTTTACCACTTGTCAAAGCAGAACAAAAAACACACACACGATAACGTTTACACATGATGTTCCAAAACATTACTACACCCACTGAATGCTGCAACGTTTAATCACCATCTTTATTTCCCCAGGACCAATGAAAATACCTGGGAACCACGGGGTTGATTCTAGTGCCATACAAATTGGGAGCCAGGCCAAGATGTGTGCCCTACCTGCTGGGGAACTGTGACTACCAACAAACCTGGAACACTGGATTCATTTACATTTATTTCCGAGCCGAATAGATTGTAAATTGTGAGAATGAGTCACATGAGCTGATGCATTTAATGGGGTGTTCACGTTATCTTCCCCCCTCCCCATTTGCAGTAGGTATTCGGTGCCTTTTAAAGATTGAGTAAGCGCTCTCTCTCTCTCACACACACGAACAGTTCAACGACACCAAATCGTTTCAATCCTCTCCTTGCTCAAGGAGATCACTTCGACCACTCCAGATGCTAATGGTTATATAATCGTTTGTTCGCACAACAACAACAGAAAACATGTCAACCCAGAGGAGAGAGACGGAGGGAGCAGCTTGGCCCGTGGCTCCGGCACTGGGTTGCCTCAGTAGCCGGGGGACGGAGGAAGGCAGCGTCGCTGTCCGCCTCCAGCTCCCTCCGCTTACCTTCCCCTTCCATCCAGTGCTACCACCTCCCCCCCAAACCGGCAAACAGCTCCCCCCCTCCCCCCTCAACTCCTTTACTCACCCTCGCCGGCCACTGCGGGTAGCCTTTCATCTTGGCAAAGACCAGATCGCCAGCCTTGTAGTCTCTCGGCCTCGGTCGAGCCATCTCTCTCTCTCTCTATCCCTGTGTGTATTTGTCCCCAACCCCCCCTCCCCCCCAAACAAAAATAAACACACACCTTCGCCTTGAAACCAGGGGCTTCACGGAGCGAGAAGACCCGGTTCCAAGGAGGAAGGCTTGGATGAAGAAGACAAGGGGGGAGTGGGGGGTAAAAAGTAAAGGGGAGGGGTGAAGAGGCCTTGGCTCAACAGCTCTCTTCACACCTTTATTTTCTTAATTTCTTTTGGAAAAAATAAAATCTCCTCCCAGCCCACTCTCCTTGATTTCCGCTGAAATGCGGAAAGCTGCCGTGGTGTCAGTCCCCTTAGCGGCGAGGCGGTACAGTCGGTGCCCGCTCCAAGATCCAGGCGGCCGGGTTTGTCTCTCCCTCATCTCCCTCCAACCCCCCTCACTACAAACGCATGCGCTTATTCTTATTCACTGGCCCTTTTTTTTCCCTAAAAAGAAAAATACATCAAATCTTTCTATCTCTCACATACACAGGGCTAATGTTTCAGGAGATACTATTTTGATCTTATTTTGCAACATTTTATGTTCGGTTACAATGTTGCTATTGTCTCGTTCCCGAGAAGTTTTCTCCCATCCCCCCTTCCCAAAAAAAAATTCCCAGATTGTCCAAACTGAGTCGGAGGGTTTTTTTTAATTTCTCCAATTATTATTTTCTACCCTCGGCCGAGATGTGAAAATTATTTCTTTTCCCTTTCAAACAAAAAGGGGCAGTTTGTATTTTCCACAAAACAAAATTGCCCAGTCGTGTTTGATGATTCAGGGAAGTAATGTTTACACTGACACCGTCATAAACAAAGAAGGATGTCTTCTGTCGTTCGAGATTTCTCGAGTCAAGATCATCTATTTAACCCTGCTTTTTCAGAGGGTTGTAATCGAATAAATTACACGTATCTTTTGTCAATAAAGCCAACTCTGTAACGATTCAAAGTCGGTTGTGTTTGCACTTAAATAATTTAACTGAAGCAATAAACAGTGAGCTGGGATTTTGAGTCAGAATTGACACTCACTTAATTTCAATTAAACGAACATGGGAAAATAAAGGATAAAACCAGTTCTGATGAAAGGGCATTGACCTGAACATTTGGCAGGCTTGGAAGGGGCTATTTTGGTCCCTCCCCATCCCCAAATAGCAGGAAGTGTGATGAGCAGGTGACTGAATGAGGTGGGATGCAAAATGTAGACATCCTGTTGACCAGAGATGAAGTCAATGGCATGCTTAGGGTGTGTTGGGCTTCATACATGTAATTAATTTGCATTCATGAAAATTCATATTGTTAATAAACTTCTACCTTCAAGATAGCATCAGCAGTGCAGAAGAATCTGGTCACACTTGGCTCACATTTGTTTATAAATGGCATGCACCAGTTGGCTTTGTGCCATTGTGGCTGAAGTCAGTGGTTGTCCTTGTTTAACCCTGCAGCACAAGGAAGGGAGCAGGTGAAAGCCGCTTACATGAAGGCCTTGGGATTGGCAAGTCAGTACTGAGGGCAGGAGGTGGTTGTGGAGTGGGCTTGGGTGTATGGCGGACTGGAAAAGGAATCCATAGGAACGCAGAGGGTAGGGTAAGGTGCATAAAGAGTGAAGTGGGAAGGCCCTGTGTTCAGGGTATGGTAGAAACCAATGTCTGTGAGATTACCGCTCAATAACTAGGGAGCTCACTGTGCTCATGTTGGGGACTGGTAGTGGGGTTGGGTGCCCAGAATAGCAGCAGCACAGGGATAGTCCATCAAGGCCAAAAAAATGAATTACCTCATGAATACAGTCAGGTCAAAACTGTCCACCTCTTGGTGTATTTCAGAGCTTTGAGTTCATCTATACCATTTCAATTGTGCCCAGTGAAAGTGATCTCAAACAATGTTCTTGGTAATGTGTAGAATGGAGGGCTAGCTGAGTGTGCAAAGTCAGCTATATCCCATAGTGTGCTGAGTACAACACTAGACGCTAACCTGACCATTTAATAAAGACTGAACACCAACCACAAAAATTGTATCCTCCGCAATCGAGGAGATGTTCTCCATTTCCCTGTAGCCATCAATGTGCGGCAAACATAAGGTACACACTAGCTCTCAACAAATAATCATGATGCACATATGAATCAAGTGATATCAATGTAATGTATTTGCAAGTGAAATTTAAGTTTGGAATAAGCAGCCTTACCAGCCCTTGTTTTCTCAAAATGTCTTATCTTAATGACAATGTACCTGAACATGTAAGTTACGGCCATGGTGCAAAGCCTCTTTGCTTGGCCGGTAGGCTCATTTATAGCCCACTCTTAGCTGTGACCATTTAGCTAGTACCAGGTTTCATCACAAAAATCTTCCCCCACTGCTGAACTGCATGTGTTTCTCCTGCACACTGTCGGCACTTTGCATTTTAATTGAAACTGTGTAAGAAATGGAAATGAAAGCAAAAAAAAAGTAGTGCATACATTTGGTTCTGGCATCAGGAACAGTCCCCAGCTCTCACTTCACACTGGCTGACTGTTTCCTATTCATATTTCAAGCTTTTCATACAACCCCTACAGTGTGGAAGTAGGCCATTTACCCCATTGAGTCCACACCAACCCTTTGAAGAGCATCCCACGCTAGACACTATGGGCAATTCAGCATAGTCAAGCCACCTAGCCTACACAAGTTTGGACTGTGGGAGGAAACCAGAGCACCCGGAGGAAACCCACACAGACACGGAGAGAATGTGCAAACTCCATACAGACAGTCACCTGAGGCTGGAATTAAACCCAGGTCTGGAATCAAATCTGGGTCCCTAGCACTGTGAGGCAACAATGCTAGCCACTGAGCCACTCTGCTACAGTTTTATTGAAGAGTAGATGAATAAATCACAATGTAACAGCTATAATTCGTTGCAATAATCTTGGACAAAATTTATTTATGCAGTTCCACCAGTTCATTGCTTTCAACATGGCGAATCTTACTCAGTAAAGTAGGAAAGTTAAATTCTCTACTTGAGGCAAAGGAGAAAGAAAGACCTCCATTTATCTAGTAACGCCTTTCATGACCTAAATCTTTGCTTCTAAGTTGCATAGTGGAAGTTGTGAAATTCCCCATCTTGCTGCATCCACTTCAGGAAAAAATATCCTGAATTGTGGAGTGCAGCTTCTTTACAAGCTGGAGGATGCAGGGTGCAGTCGGTGCCATCACCCCAGGGCTCAGATTGCAGTCAGCTACTTCAGCTATTGAGCATCAAGATTGGCTGTTTAAAAGGCTTTGTTCCTATTATTTTCTTAAACTTAAGATCCTCCAGCCGTTAGCCTTTACAGCTCCTCACCAACACTCCCACTCCTCAGGAACAAAACCAGAAGTTGGTGAAAAAGCTCAGCAGGTCTGGCAGCATCTGTGAAGAAAATTTCAGAGTTAACATTTCGGGTCTGGTGACCCTTCCTCAGAACTGATGGTAGCTGGGAAAATGTCAGTTTATGTGCGAAAATAGGGAGGAGGATGGGGTAGGGAGTAAACGATAGGATAGAGCCCGAAGAGACAGAAGAGCAGTTGGATAGACAAGGGAGTTGATAACGATCTGTCTAGGAGGATGAATAGTTGTTAATGGGACTATTAGTGACTAACAATAGGTAGTGTGTAATGGCAGGCTATGTGATAACAAGGCCTGGTGTGTGACGTAGAGGGCTAGGACATGGGAGAATTTAGGCCCTAAAATTATTGAACTCGATATTGAGTCTAAAGGGCTGCACGGTCCCCAAGCCGAAAATGAGATGTTGTTCTTCTAGCTTGCACACTAACAGTCCCCATTAACAGCTAGTCACCCTCCTAGCCAGATCGTTATCAACTCCTTTGTCAATCCAACTGCTCTTCTCTCTCTTCGGGCTCTATCTTATCATTTACTCTCTACCCCATTCCCCTCCTTATTTTCTGCATATAAACCAATGTTTTCCCAACCACCATATGTTGTGAGGAAGGGTCACAGGACCTGAAACATTAACCCTGATTTTTTCTTCACAGATGCTACCAGACGTGCTGAGGTTTTCCAGCAACTTCTGTTTTTGTTCCTGATTTACAGCATTCACAGTTCTTTCGGTTTTTATTTACCCCCACTCCTCATGTGCATACATTCCAACTCATGCCCACCCATGCCTTCACTCCCCCCAACTGCCTTTGATAACCGGTATGCCTAACTGTTCTCCTACCCACCCTTAGGATCCCTCATACCTTCCATGTCAAACTAAGTCACCAATTATCTAATCCACCTTATAGTCGCCATTGACCCATACATTGATCCAAGCCAATTCATTGTCTTTCCACCCTTCACTCATTGGCATCACAATCTCTGTACCAACTCATTCAATATCCACCATAGGTAGACATCAGGAGTGTGCTGAGGTGAAATAGAATAATGTTCTAAATAGCTATCACAGAATTCACAATATAAAAATGTCCCACTCCCATTCAGTATATTTACATCCCCTCAAGTACTTAATACCATATGAAAACAAATACTTGTATTTGTAACCCTACATCAAAGCCAGCCAATCCTTTAAAAAAGCACTTTGAGCTGATATTCACAATATGAACTTACAATGTCCCCACTGTGATAATGATAGACGTGGAATATATCTAATCATTACTACTGCTTAAAAATACCCTGAAGTATAACTGCTGGATATATTTTTGCAACATTTTTCAAAGAGCTGGCCACTTAAACAGCTTTATAGCTCAACCAACATAATTTGCCCTTCGAGACCATTTACAACTATTATAAAAAAATATAATTACACACTCAGGTCCCTTGCTCTGACAAAACTGGAAACTACTCACATTGAGTTTGAGCAGCCTTGCTGATATCAGGTTTCACATATATGAGTGTCATGTTCTGTCCACCACCCTGACAAAAACATGACGAAGCAATGACAGCAGAGTTAATGTGAGAGCTGCTACGGAATGATGAATAGTACTTATTCGGTTGGCAGGACATGGATGGCTTGACATCCCCACAGGTGTAGATCTGTTTTTTTCCTGCAAAGGACAGGATTCTTTCATCTTAGTGGGTGAGGAGCCTGATTTGGGCATCCCTTCACCCACCCTTAGGCTCTTTCTACCCTATCATAGGCTGTTTGCTCCTGCAATGAGTTCAAAGTGAGTGCCATGACTGTTAATGCAGGTACAGCTGGTCAAAAGGTAGTGAGGTGTCCTGGGTAAGCGAGGAGACAGCACAGAGGCTCTGAGATAACAAGATGTAGAGCTGGATGAACACAGCAGGCCAAGCAGCATCAGAGGAGCAGGAAGGCTGACGTTTCGGGCCTAGACCCTTCTTCAGAATGCTGCTTGGCCTGCTGTGTTCATCCAGCTCTACATCTTGTTATCTCAGATTCTCCAGCATCTGCAGTTCCCACTACCTCCAGCACAGAGGCTCTGCAGGGTTCATGGCA